ATGGAGAAATACCCTTTCAAACCAAAATATATTCTTTCTCCCTTACATTGCTGCTTTTAGGTATCTATACAGCAACAAGGACAGCAGTGAATACTGACTCTAAAAACCTTTTAAAGACATCTTTATATTTTATAATAAAATGTTCCATGTCTCAAATACTTCAAAACTAACTACAATAAAGGGGAAATTTACTTACAGAGATGACACTAAAAACGAATTCGTCTTGTGCTTGCATATAGCTCACAAGAAGAAATGTCCCATTCCTGTTTTACATTGGAGTTCAGTGATTTAAACAAACTGTCAAAAGCCAGGAGGGAGTGGCTCAGACTAATTCTCAGGTTAGCATCCTTTCTTCCCCATCCTTTGATGTTGTGGGGACCATGGAGCTAAGCACCAGCTTCTTGTTTTCACTCTCTGTTTCTGCCGGAAGAATTTAGCAGTAGCTGGCAAGGTCCAGAAAGTCTGGGTTTGGGGGCTTTGGAATTGGGTGGATCTGAGTTTGAATTCACATCCTTTCAGTTAAGATCAGAGGCTTTGGGCAAAGAAATATAACCTTGCTGTTTTGTTTCTTCCCCTGTGTTGAAAAGGGGTAATAATGACTCCTGTCACATAATGTGATTTCTTGAGAAAAACTCTGTTGATTTCTCATTACATCTCCCTAGAGATCACACAGCGTCAGCACATGGCAAATCTGGGAACTATGTTAGCTGATACCAGCTGCCAGAGTGTCACTGTTGGGTTAAGAAAAATGCTAGCATAAAAACTTAGATCGTGGAAATCACTCTCTTCAGCTTTCTCCCAATGAATTCCTGAGGCTTGTAAAGGTATAATGAACTGTCCCAGGTCACAAAACCCACTGATGGTAGTGAAAGGGAAGAAGCCATTATTTTAGGTCAGGAGAGGGACTGAACTTATTCATTCCCAAGCTCTGGTGTACAAGGTACCCTGATACCTAAATATTAATCTGATGGCTAAATCTTTTCTCTGTTAGATGGTTACAAAGTTCCCTTTGGAACTGAACAAATCAGTGATTAGAATTGTAGGTGAAGGAATTTACCCAAAGAAGGCAAACTGGAACTTCTTCCTCTGCTGTGGGAGTTGGGCTGAATACACCCTCTGGGGTTGTTTGCCTAGCTTTGCCTTTCTAAGATTTTCCTTGGAGACAAAATGTCATAGAAAACAAATAGTTTTCCTCCTCTTTGCTAGACACATCACGGAATGTTGTGTTTAAGTTGGAAGATAAACCTTCTGGTTAAAAAAAAATATTTACCTTGAATAGCAACAGGCACACTAAGAGGTCACGAAAAGCATCTGTGTGTCCCGAAGGTCATGGCTTGGGGTCCACTCCATGGCCAGAGCACCCTTCTCCCAAATTGTATTTATTTCTAATGCTTATTTCTTGGAAAATTAAGTCAAGCCAGGGAGAAAGCTGCAAAGATTCTAGGGAGGTGCATGCAGGAGTATGCTCTTTGACAGACCTCACCATGAAGTTGAATATTCTAGTCACATAGACAATAAACTTGCAAAATAGAAGAAACAGCAAATGTCAGCACAGCAATCAAATTCAAAGTCAAGGGTTCTGGTTCTGCTGTCAGTAGTCACCTGAGTCTGTCTATAGATGCCAATATCCTCCTTAGCCACACAGTAGGTTCCAGAGGGCTACAGGGCATTTCCCTCAGAGGTGTCATTAGCCACTCTGTGGGTTCAAGAGAGCCACAGGGCATCTCCCTTAGAGGTGAGCACAGGTTCAGTATTTCAGGCAGCAGAAGACTCTCAGGGCTCAGCAGGGAAACCAGAGAGCTAAGCCTGTTGGGGTGCTCCAGAGAAACTCACTGTAGAGTACCACGCGCATGGGATTTTGGAACTAATGCTTAGGGATGCCTCGGTGTTCTTGCTGATCAAGGGTGGACGCTACATTCTTGTACTTGGTTTCATCCACACACAGCCATGACTGAGGGGCCCCTAGCCCCTGAGCTCTGGAACTGAACCCTGGCCATCCCACCTCTACGGAATCACTGCTTCATGTGTTTGTTTTTCCAGACGTCTTTGGTGTGGGCAGGTAAAAGTGACTCAGTTTCAGGGATGTAGAAAGCAGATGTTTTCCTCCAACAGGAAGCCCAGAGGGGTGTTCTGACACTGATTAAATTGCTATCACGTCAGAAGGGTTTTTTATTATTATAGAGGCATACATAATGATGGTTTTGTTATTTGGACATAAAAACATCTCACTGCAGCATCCTCCCTCTACTGTTCTAGGCAGTGGAAGCAATAAGGCTCAGCTTTCCTTCCCTACAACTCTGAATTGCTGAAGCAAAAGATGTACCTTAAGACTCCTGGGGAAAATGCCTTGCAAAGAGACAGATTAAAATTATTTTATTATTGTTCTTTTTAGAATTTTATATACCAATATTGTATTTACATCATTTCAACCCCATAATCTCCTGTTTCCTTCTAACTTCCTCTGAACTCTCAACTTCATCAACTCTTGTATGTATGTATGTATGTATGTATGTATGTATGTATGTATGTATACACATATATATTTACACATAGGCTTTCTCCAGTGTCCATTTTGTGTTGTGCTCATATGTATACTCATTTGCGGCTGACCACTTAGAATTCGTAACCTATCAGAAGGATTGTTCCTAGAGCAGACTGATTCTCACTCTCCTAGCAGCCTTAAATTTCCCCCTCACCTGGGAGGGGGCCTTGTGACATTTCCCCAATGGCAGCTTAACTGGTGTTATCATTGTGCAAGTTTTACAAACAAATACATTTTAAGCAGAGAGCTGTACTATGTATGGGACATGACGTAGCAAACTCATCTGAAGGGGGATAAATCACTGTCTTTGTAATGTGGGTTCACTTGGCAACTTTGAATTCCCATGCTTGGAGTCAGGCACTCAGGGGACAAGCGCACGCTTTGAGTAAATGGAAGACACGGCTCATTAAAATGATCCATTACTTGACAGTGTTGAAACCCTGACCGTTCCACCCAGGCCTGGTTCATTTATCTCCCTCATGCCTACCAGAATCCCGACACCCACTAAACACTCAATAAACTTTGACTAAATAAGTAAAGGGAAAGTGTTCACAAACTAAATTCGATTGAAAAAAAATGAAAACAAAATACAGGTGCAGTATGATTACAACTAATTAATAAATAAATCTTTATGTGCATGTGTCATAGATAAATATTGAAAAGGCGGTGCAAATATAGAACTGTGGAAGAGGTGCCATTTAAGAATTTGAACTAGGCAATGGCGGTGCACGCCATCCCCATACTCGGGAGGCAGAGGCAGGCAGATCTCTGTGAGTTCAAGGCCAACCTGGTCTACAGAGTGAGTTCCAGAACAGCCAGGACTGTTAAACAGAGAAACTCTGTTTCGAAAAACAAAAACAAAAGTAAAAAAGAATTTGAATAATAAACTTACTTTAGTAAGAAAAGTCAAGAGATGATGTTGGCTTATAAAACACTGGAGTTGAAGCCGGGGTGTGATATAGCAAAGGATCTTGGCTCTGATTTAAAATCTCTTTGAGCCAATTAAAGCCTCTGTCCCTTGGTTTCCTGACCTGGGAAGAGAGGGCAGTGACAGAGACTTCACTCAGTGCTACTATGAGGCTCAAACTAGATGTAAAGTCCCGGTCCATGATCACCACTTGTTTTTGAAAATCCTTCCTGATGGATTACAGATCAAGGTCAGCCCTGAGCTTCATTCACGTTGTGGGTGCTCGATCCTCAACAGTGCAGGATCTCCATGCTAGCAGTAACACCCACCCTCAGGGAATATAACAGATTGTATTAAACTCAAGTTATCTCTGCTCTTAGGACTAGCTTCTAAGGCACTGACAGGGTGAAGGATTAAATGTATTTGCAACCCCCCAGGAGATGCTGGAAGAATGACTGAAATAAGGTTTGCTGTACTCATCTCCAGAGGCAATGATGCACTCTTGGAGTCTGAGGATAGCTTTAGTAGTTGTTTGGAATACACTCAAACATCTGGATGGGAGAAGGGAACTCGGTTTAGAGCAAAACTTGAGGTCTGTCCTCGTTGAGCAGCTGTAAGCCTTGTGCTACCACCCAGTCCCGTGTCTCATAGGTCAGTCAGGAGACATAGCAAGAGGAAGAGATTTTAGAAATGGCAGTATTGCTCTGTAGGTGATCAGGTCTAAAGAGGTGCATACATAAATATATTTTTTGTAAACATATATTAAAAACATTAAAATGCTATGTGTGTGTGTGGTGTGTGTACTGATCATGTGACTATTTTACCTGTAATACATCTTTGGATTTTGATTTTTAAAAGTGCACATACTGATCTTAAACTTAGAAATAAATGTTATTTAGAAGGAATTCCCTTGACGAATATTATAGACATGTATGAAATTTTCATAATGGAAGTTATTTTTATATAACTCATATATTCCAATAAAATTATAGTTTGCAAAATATGATAATTGGATAGAGTTATATTTTGTTTCCTTTGTGAAAAGAACTAAATTGTTTTCAGAAGTTTGAATTAAGCAAACAATTTTGAAAATGAAGAAAAGGAGATTTTTTTCCTTTTTTTTTTTGGTTTTTCGAGCAGGGTTTCTCTGTATAGGGCTGGTTGTCCTGAAAATTATTCTGTAGACCAGGCTGGCCTTGAACTCACAGAGATCCGCCTGCCTCTGCCTCCTGAGTGCTGGGATTAAAGGTGTGCACCACCACCACCTGGTAAGACACTTTTTTTTTTTCCTGCCAGCCACAAGGCAGGGAATTACAGCCAGAGACAATTACAGGAGCAGGCAAACGCTTGACTGCGGTATAAGCTCTTTTGATGACAAAGCCCCTGAATCCTGCAGGAGGATTGACCCGAGGCTTTGCTCAGTTTCTCTCACTGGATCAGCAGGACTCTCATCTGCTTCTCTCAAACATTTCAGCCTGTGGCCTTGTTTTTGAATTTTAGTTCACACCCTGAGGCAACTTGCCTTGAAAATGCAGAACACACTAGTCTCACCATTGGCTGCTCTCTTGGAGAGTGGCCCCAAGGAGGAGTGCAAACTACGTGGGACCATGGAAGCAAGGGAAGAAGTAAGTCCAGGGTATCATGGGCACAGAGGAGGAAGATGAAAAAGCAAGAGGACTCAGAAATAAAGGGGGTTGGAAAGGAAAGCCTTCTACTTCACAACCATGTGGGAAGTGTGGGGGATCGAGAGGATCCTGGGAAAGAAACAGCCCATGTGGATATAATTATTCCACAAAAGTGCCCCCCCCTTCCTTCTGGCCCAAGAGCTCCTGGCTCAGACAGCCTGTTACCTCATTGTTGGTGCCGACATCTAGCAGGACAGGAAGGCACTGCTGTGGATTCACCCCTCCGCATGCTGTGTACAGGGCCAGCTTGCCCACAGGGATGCCCATGCCGTAGCAGCCCAGGTCTCCTAAACCCAGTATGCGCTCTCCATCAGTCACCACCACCGCCTGAAAAACACAGCAGGGCACCCTCAATCAGGAGCACCACCTCCCTGACAAAGTGCTTATTTCAAAGTCCCAGCAGTCAGGCTTGACAGCTGGATACCCGCTGACTTTGTTGGGAATAAAGCAGCCTGTCTGGGACAAGGCCAGAGGATTCATCAACTGCAGGTGGCTGGCCCTTTCTGGCAAGTGGGCGAGGAACCTCACTGAGCCCAAGTGACAGAAAGACAGCGTTCCTTGCATTCTGAAGATTGGGTTGGGAGTGTCAGAACAGCTGGAAAGAAATCACATTTAGCCCCCTCCTCTCAACTGGAAAGTCTTCAGCCTGGAACCTGGGGCATGAGACAGGAAGGGAACGATGCAAGCCACAGCATTTTGAGGACAATTTGCCAAAAACAGAGCTTGTAATGTTTTTTTCTAGAATGACAATCCTGGAATCAGGTAGATTCTTTGGTTGTATGAGAATAACCTGTTGGCAAAGAATCACTGATGGCCAGCTATGTACTAGACATAGTTATGGTACAAATCTTACCTTTATCAGGTGTTGATGGGGCTTACCTTTATCAGGGTGATGACAGACATGATTGGATGATCATGGTGGATGTTCATTTATTCATTCACTTAATAAATACTTACAACGCATCTGCTTACTAGTAAGACATATCCTGGGGAAAAGAACTTTAGTTTGCTTACCTATAAAATTAAGTATGTGTGGACCCAAATGAGAGACAGAGAAAGAGAGAGAGAGAGAGAGAGAGAGAGAGAGAGAGAAAGAGAGAGAGAGCGAGAGAGCGCATATTTATTAACAGTTACAGCTTCAGGACAGAAGCCCTAATATAACATGACAATGCAGGGACAGTAGAGATTGAGATATTCCTGTAGGGTGAACCACTCTTGTAAGTTCTGCAGATGAGAGAATACACACACCAAACCTCAGACAAGAAGCAATTGTGAGGATGCAGGCAGAATGCAACCTTTAGTAGGTGTTGTGGAATATTACTTTAATTAGGCAAAAATGTATTATATTTGTTTATGTTGTGAAATATTACTTTAACTGTGTAAGGTGTGTTACATTTGTTTATGCTGCATTTGTTTAACAATGTGAGAATGTGTGTTTCGTTATGTAAAGATGTGTTGCATTTATTTTACCTTGCCTGCCTAAGCCCCCTGATTGGTCTGATAAAAAGCTGAATGTCCAGTATCTAGGCAGGAGAGGGATAGGCAGGGCAGTCAGGCAGAAAGAATAAATAGGAGGAGAAATGTAGGCCAGGGAAGAACAAGAGAAGAATGAGGAGAGAACGAGGGGACTAGAAGCCAGGCAGTCACCAGCCAGACATGAGGAGCAGTGAAAATAAGATATACAGAAAGAAAAAGAAAAGGTAAAAAGCCTCTAGGCAAAACAGAGATAAAGAGAAACAGGTTAAAATAAGAGCTAAGAAGACCAAACATTCAAAACTAATAATAAGTCTTTGTGTCATGATCTGGGAGCTGGTTGGTGGCCCAAAAGAAAAGTGGGGTACAAACAGGAAAGAAAGTTAAGGCCCAGGACAGATTGAGTAAACTGTGTGTGAGAAGCGAGGTGTAAATTATATGAATAGCAGAATGGGAAGTGAGGGATAAGTCAGTGAAGGGGAATCCCTTGGGATGACATTGAACTTGTTTATACATCACTGCAACAAGCTCGCTATCATGGGCTCCCATTGTCTCTGGAAGAGTTAAGTCTATAGGCAGCTCATCCATTTACAGAAACCCGACTTTTTCCAGGACCGACGTCTAGCTCTCAGCTATAGATATCCTGGTTGAACCCTTGGTACCAATGAGAATATAAGGGTTTAGTTAGTCTATATAAGGTCAATGCTAGAATAAAGCAATAAAGACCCATTCTTGCCCTAGTTGTGGTATAGTGTGCAAAGATTGTCTTCCCACTTCCTTAGCTCTATTGGGGGAAATACACATGGGCTGCTTCTGCTTTTTTTTTTTTTTTTTTTTTTTTTTTTTTTTTTTTTGAGAAAAAAGGTACAAAGATTCTAGAAACACTCATCCACTTCAGGAATTGAGTTTTGGAGAGTGCAACAGACCCATGAAATTCTTATTTCTCTTTCAGATTGCTCTACCACTTTAGTGGTGAGTGATCACAACCCACATCTCACACTCCCTCCCTCTATCATGGTCTGGGCACAGGAAGGGCTAACACTGTTAATTCCACTTTACAAGTGAGCAGGTTGAAGTTCAAAACTTTCCTGGTCTACATATACATGCCATGTCTTGCCATGTATCAGTAAGTATACAACCCAAGTTCCAGTAACTGGGTTGATAGTTCCACATTGGTTATCTTAGAAAGCCTAGATGACTTGTTACCTTGGCAAGTGTGGGATCCCTATTAGTCAGTCTTTGGGCTTCTGGTTCAGCGGTGTTTTTGCCACTCTATCTCACTGGGATAAAGCATCTGTGCTCTTGGCAAGTCCCACCCTGCCTTAGCACCCAGTCTCTGTGCCTGCCTCTGGCCCCCTCCTGGCAGAATTTCCAGCTAGAGCTTGTGCCCTCTGCCTCTGTAGCCCCAACTTAACATTTCTCTACCTTCTGGTCTGTCCAAATCAAAGCTTACTGACTCAGGTTCCCCTCCTGAGGGAATTCTTTGCTCTGCTTAGAGGGAAACTATTGTGTACCTATTTGCTCTGAATTAAGACATTCCCACCTCTGGAGAGGAGGGAGGCCAATAAGACTCTAATTCATTACTCTTACAACCCTAAGATGATGAGGGGCCATCAGTGCAGTTTCCCAGACTGGAAATGTCCCAGGGAATTCTACTACACGTTCAACTCTTCTGAGGGAATGCCTCACCATCCAGCATCAATTTTCAGTTCTTCTGTGCAAATGGTTGACTTGGTACAACAGTTTCTCAGACTGCTTCACCCCTCTTCTTATTTTTAGTCTCTCCTGCAAACCTATGTCAAGTTCATTGCATCCAAAGCTCATTTCCATCATGACATTTCCAGGATCAAAGACTGTGCTGGGTAGTTATATGTCAACTTGCATAAGTTAGAGTCATTAGGAAGCGGGACTCCACAGGATTTGCTGGTAGGCAGGTCTGTAGTAATGCCATTACTACTATCCAGTCCATTGTGGGTGGTGCGATCCCTGAGCCGGTGGGCTAGGTGCTATTAAAAAAGCAGGCTGAGCAAACCATGCGGGAACAAGGCAGGAAGCAGTGATCCAGCATGTCCTCTGTTTTAGTTCCTGTCTCCAGGTTCCTTCTTTGAGTTCCTGTCTGTCTTCTCTTCATGATGGACTACAAGCTGTACGATGAAATAAACCCTTTTCTCTCCAAGTTGATTTTGATCATAGTTTTTTTTTTTCTTCAAAAAACAGAAACCATAACTAAGACAAAGACTTTTAATGATTTCTAACTGCCCCTATGGATACCTAAGTCTGTATATTGTTTAACATACCTTAAAAAGTTGCTGTATATCTATATGTAACTGCATTGTCTGGCTAGTGGTTTCTTCTCTGGCTCTCTCTCAGCTTTTATATTCATTTTTTTTCTGGAGGATCTTTCTCCCAATTTTCTATTTTGACAAATGTAGTAGCAGTTTTCATTCTTATGAACTGTTAACACTTGTTACATCTAATACACACACTCCTGGTCACCTTCGACATTCTGTAAGCACTTGTTAAGAACCTACTGGGTACCAAGACTCACACAAAATACTGTTGGAAAGTGCCATTTGTATGTCCAATACACCTCTCAAATCTCATCACTTCTTGTCCAAATGAATTCTTACATTCTTCTTTGAAATTTTTTACTTGCTGTCTTCCTGTCAGGGGCTAGGTAAGGTCAAAGGTCATTTGTGGTTCTGTGCATGGAACAAGGAGCTCTAGACTTTTGTTTCCTGTCAGCAAGGCCAGCAACGAACTGGTGCCAGGGCTCTGGAGCCTCCCAAAGCCAGAGCCTGGAGCTTGACAGTTTCCCTGTAAGCTGTGGCCAAATGTTCCAGACACAGAGATGTGAAATGCTTTGCTTATCACACCAGCATGGATCTTACAAAAGAGGAACTAGAGTTACTCTGAGTTCCCCATAATTCTGCTGTCTAATGACCTTTATGGATTTGCTTGCTGCTTCTTCATTTGATGGGTATATTAGGATTAATAAATGTGTGATTAATAAACTTGCTAGCTAGCTCCTGACCCCTGCTTTTGACTCTTCGTTTCTCACCCCTGGTCTTCCCCCTCAGAGTTCCAGAACAAACACGGGAAAAACTGCTGGTCTCATTCACCTTCCCCCTTACTTCTCTACATCTTTCAAGCTCCACACCACCTAACCTTCTTTGATTTTTTTCTTTGGGCTTTGGTAATCAAGTTGGCTATCAAGTTCTGCTGATCTTGCCCACTTTAGTCTTGTGGCATTTGTTCTAGGATCCTCACACCGTTCCTATTGCCTTTGACCTGACAATCTGCTTGTCACTTAAACCACCCTATGATTTTCCCACTCTTCTTTTAACTCTTGTAGTCTCCCCATCCTGTTTTATTTTTACAAAGCACATCTGGATGAATCAGTTTCTTGCCCCATATAAAACAAAGATCAGACATTTTCTTAACCTGACCTTTAAGATTTCCATGGGCTAGGTCCACTCTGCCTTTTGGAATTTTCTGTCTTTTCCATGCTCCATCCTAACTAAGATACTTCTGGTTCTGTATGGGAGTTCTACTTTCTGTAATATGTGGCATTTTACTCAAGTCTTTCATTTCCTTGATTGGACTTCTACTATTTTTGTGTGTTTCAAGGAACAATTCAAAATTCACTTGCCAGGTGGTAGTGGAGTGGCATACGTCTTTAATCCCAGCACTCGGGAAGCAGAGGCAGGTGAATCTCTGAGTTCCAGGCCAGCCTGGTCTACAGAGCTAGTTCCAGGACAGTTAGGGCTAAGGGAGAAACCCTGTCTTGAACAAAAATAAAATAAATTAAAATAAAAAATAAAATAAAAATTTCACTTGTGTCTGTGAAGCTT